TTCTTTGCGTGAACATTTGTGCGGCGTTATGCAAATCTTCCCACATTGTGACGTAGGTATGTGGGGGCGTGTTAGAACGAGCCGTTTTAGGTAGGCGTGGCTGACTCTTAACTTTTATAAAGAATATCTCTTTGGATTTGAGACTTTAGTGTTTGCAACTTTACAGATCTTCTTTATACACCAAGAGCTTGTAACACTCCAAAGAGAAAGGAAAAATTGAAATCGCATCATATGACCCATTTAAACAACACAAATATGTTGAAAATAATCTATAAACATGCTTGTCAACACAATTTCAAAGTAGGTTTTTATTAAGCAAGTGTGCGAATTACTTAACCACTGCTTTAAAACTGTTGGCAACTGTTGGGCTTGAATCACATTCACTGCACAAACACTTTATATTTAGCAAACCTTCCTGGGAAATTTTGTTTGGTTCTGTGTAAATTAAGTAACATTTGGATGTAAATGGTCCTCCTGACATAAATGCACAACACTGGCTACGACCAGTAATTGACCATTACGACAATGGCTACGACCTGAGGATCACATCAGTCAAAGATAACCAAATCAATAACGTGCTAGTTTAACTACTTCCTAACTAGCCTAGTGAGATTCAGATTACACACAATGTTGTGCAAATTCTTTTCTGCATTTAGTCTCTAGCCTGTTTATTAATTTCTTTTACTTAATCTGCCATTGCTTACTATGAATATTGTTGGTTCTATGACAACTTGTCTCTTTGTATCTCTGTGGTTTCTTTCAGAGTGTTAAACAGGAGGACGATGCAGTGTATGCTAGTGTTGTCCACAAACGTTAATTCAATTCTCTGTGATGGTGTTTCCTCATTAATGATGTTCTGATCACAGGCAGTAAGTTCATATGCACACTGGAATGCCGATTATTGCAAAAAAGCTTTTTAAAACGTGAAAGCGGTTCATTTGTGCTAAAAGGTACTGTTTTAGCAGTGACTTTAGGGTGTTCATGGTTCGTGTATTTTAGACTTTTTTCTGAGTAACTTTTAAAAATGATTTGCTTATTGTGATCCTGTATGTTAACTTGTGTTTCAGCTATACTAGACAACCCCAAAACTCTTCTACATGTAACAGACATTTATTGTACATGCACTTATATTGTACAGAAAACCGCCGCTGACTTTAAACAGCCACTTCATTTGTTCCAGCAGCTTATTCTCTCAGTTCTCTCAATGCATTCATATTAAAACTTGTTTGAGGGTCAAATAAAAACCACACAGAAAACTTTAGCAATAAAATCTGCAGAATGACAGCCATTTAATTTTGATATTAGCAGTAAACAGATTATATTGGTGTCTTTTTACAGTATTAGAATCATTCCACAGAAGGCCTCGTTTAATACCTGGAAACAAATGTGGTTTTGTTTGTTTTGGCAGACAGCATGTGCATGAAAATGTGTCTATACTAGACGTTTGTGGTTAATGTATGCTAGAGTGTGCATGTCTTGAGGTGTGAATAGTGTGTGTTTCGGTGAATAGCATGTACATTCACAATTTGCATTCCTCTTTATGTGAAACGGTTTTACTGCAAAATACATAATATACATAATCTATGAATGCTGATTTTTGACAAAAAAAGATTACTGGTTGAATGTGAAATAATATAAAATATCATATACTGTATGTGAAATGTCAGATTGGTGTTCAGCGGCATATGCATCTGTGTATCGCTGATTTCTATCAGTCGTTGATTTGCATACTAATGCAGTGATCCTGCAGATAAGAAGTGTTAGCTTCGGCAGAAATTATTTCCAGCTCTAGAAGTCGTTTCTGAGAAGTTTCCACTATTCTTGATATCACACATATCTTTTGCGAAGAATGTGTCATGTTCGTCTGTCACCATCGAGGACAAATAAGGTAAATAATTTTAAAAATAAATGCATTGCAATGAAAATGGAAAGCATTATTTAATATAAGTTGTGGTATTTATGCAGTAATAATTTACTGGAAACTGTGCAGAAGTGATGATTATGCTAAGAGGAAAAAATGACGAGAATGATCATTTTGTTTTCATATATTTTTGGGAATTGCTATAAGCAATAATATTTTTCATATATATATATATATATACTATTTATATGCTTTTCATGTATGGCCTTTCCATCAGTGATAAAATAAAAATAAAATAACTTTTATATTAGAAAGATCCACAGAAAAAAGGGTTTTCCTAATGCTGTCATGAAGTAGAAACATGATATTTATTTTAAAATAATTCATCAATATTATCCATGTAATGACTTTATTAGTAAGTTTAAAGAAGGGTATATTGTGTGGTTCTTCTAAAGAGAAGTCAGAGACAATCTTACACTCATTTTTCAGCTGAACTTTCACAAAATTATTTTGGACCCAAGTTTCATTGTTTATCTTTGATTTGTTTTACAGTTTGTTACGATAACTGATTCAATGGTCTTTATGGAATGTGATAATGGTTTACTGGAGATGGATAATATAATCAAAACTCTTTTTTTGGGGGGGTAAATTCTATATAAACAAAGCAAAACACATGCCAGTTTTATCAAATGGTAGACTGGATTCCACTGATTTAAAGATCTTTTATGATTCTTTCATTCCAATATAGAATAATCGTACAGCTGTATTCCACTGTTGTTAAAAAAAAAAAAAAAAAATTAACGAGCTTAAACTGTTACATTAGCGCTCTCTAGTGTTCACAGCAAGAATCTTCCTCTACAAGAATAGCTCTGCTTTTAACAGATGGGGCGCTGTATAAATAGAGCTTACAGTAAGTAGAGTAGCAAACCAATCACTTTTTAACAATTAATTGAAAGCTTTAAAAAAAAGTTGATTAGTCACAGAACCTTTACACTGTGGTGTTCTGTTAGTGTTTTGAAAGTATTCAGGTCTAAAAAAAAATTTGTCTGCAGTGCAGAGACGTTCATAAGTAGCCTATATTAATAAAATAAAATAAAGTTAACTTAATAAATACCATATTCATCGCTGAGGATACATTTGTAGCTTTGATTTATAATGACTGTAGGTAAAGATTTACTGACTACTTCAAACGATTCAGTGCGTCAGATGATTCATTCGAACTGAATTGCGAATCATTTTGAACCGACTCAGAAGAGTGATTCATTCACTAATCGCTGGTTCTGATCAAGCGGCAACCTCCCGCTCTCTCTCGTGAAGCCAACAAGGAAGTGACTGTAATTCATCAACATCAACAACCTGCTCCCGCCTCTTTGCCCATTTTCGATTATCCGGGAGTTAACGCGCGGTGACGCGCTGCCAAGATGGCGACGGCCCGCTCCGCCCACTTTGAGCTTCAAAAACGCTCCTTGGAAATCTACGGGTGACGTCACGGACACTACGTCCATGTTTTTATACAGTCTATAGTTCTAATTCTAAACAGTCGACAGAAAATACCGGACAAATGATGTGATTGCAGAAATGTCAGGGAATATTAAATAATGATTTACCAAAATCGCCTAAATTAATGAAAAAAAAAAGGGATTTAAAAGCGACTACCAAATGTAGCTTAATTTACTTTTAGATCGATACAGGGTATCTGTCGAACATCACCTGACCAAACCCGGAAAACAAGGCTGCGTTCAGCCCCGACAAAATGGTGCAAAACGTTATTTTTTTAAACTGAAATGGTGGTGCGTTGAACACCCTGTTCTGATGACGCAAGAGTTGCAACTATGGCAGCTGAGAAGGCCATTCTTTGTGTTCTTTTTGAAGAATTTTCAGAGCCTAATGAAATCGGTATAAATATGTGTTTAATCCCAATCGAGTGAAGGGATTTGTGCAAACTGTGGTTCCTAATTATTGTGATCCAACATTTGTTGATCACAATGTTTTTCAGGATGAAAAGACAAACATTTCAGGTGAAGGATAATACACTTCTTACCTCCAAGACTGTGTTATGATCTATATGACCTTATTATTTTTATTGTGAGTATTAGGCTTATCATTATTGCTGATCACTGTTGTTGTGCTATGATATTGTAATATTTACCATTATATAATCAGAGGGGTATAGAAAAGTTTATGAAAGTGTCACTCCATAATACAATAGCAAAATAAATATGTAGTATTTTTATGTTACATTAATCATTATTTAGCACACCTTCCTAAGGAAAGGATATGGATCAGAACACATTGCAATTACTAAATTATATTTAGACAGACTTAAAGAAGTTCCAGATCTATACTTGTGCTCTTATTATTTCAGTTATTTTGCCTTTAATGTAAATAAACATGTGCAAACAATATACTTGCTCTTGTGAATTTATTTGGATGTTAATTACATTGTGAGCTGTCTCTTTAATACCGCGTGGTTTATATACATGTTGCTGCTGATTGGGCTGACATTTTTGACACACCCACCAAACAAGAGAAAACGCATCTCAAACCCCGTTGCACACAGTTTCCAGGAAACATGTCGTTCAACCCGGAAACCGTAGCAAAATGGTGCACACCGGTTTCAGCTTGAACTTGCCCCAGGTTAATAGAATACGGAAGTCTGTTGCGCATAACCCCTATTTGATGAAGCTGACTGGTCGTAAATATTTATACTTAAAAGACAAAAGCCTAATGCTGGTGATAGTATGAGTGTGAGACCAGTTTACAAATGTAACAGACAGGGTCTGTTTCATAAAACATGAACCAAACAAATGTATGTTAATAAACCTCGCAACGTTAACCTTCCAAAAATCTATTCTTACATGAATTTCCCTCAATGGTTTTACGTATAAGAATCGTTACAAACGCAAATTGGTTGATACAAAAGAAAACAAATTCACAAACTGTACAATTAAAAGCTTATTCGAATGCAGTTAAGTCAGCAATTCAAATTAAAAACATCGTTCAAGCAGTTGAACAGCTTTTGAAAAAATAGCAAATTCCAGAATTTGTCAAAGTACTGAATAAAATCTCACCTTGAAGGATCCTGATGGTGTCAAACTATGGACACAGACTTGAGAGGGACTGAAGATCCGAGCTGTTTTCTGGGATTTCTTCTTGGGATTTTTTCTGTGGTTACTAGGGTGTTCTGGTTGTTAGGTGGTAGTTTACTAGTCAAAAGAGCTCATCCCAAAAATATGATATGGCTCGAGTCTCTTGTGTCAGTGGGATGTTTTCTTCAGGGGCATACCGTTACATCTGATCGATTTGTAAAGGAACAGCACATGCAGACTACACCTGTGCAATATTTACTATTGGTTTGCGATCCTCAGAAAGTCATAATTTACAACTTCTACTAAGAAAAGTCCAACAAAACGCCATTTGAAGAAGACAAAACTTCTGTGCGGAAGTTAATAACTTCAGAGTCCCCGAGATGCGCGTGTATGTGTCGTCACGAGATGCACACATTACACATCAAATGGCATTACATCATAATAAAACCTCGCAGCAAACGTTTGCGGAATCAAATGTGAAACACACTAAATGACCCTCTCACGCAGTGCTGCGTTCAGCATCTTTGGTTTCTGTTTAATAATTGTTTTCCCCCAGCAGTTCATATCTGTCCTGTGATTATACTGGAGCTGTGCTCTGATTGGTCGTCAGTGCTCTGGTGGGCGTGGCTACTGTGGCTGTTCTGGTTCATCATATCCACAAAAGCGGTTAAAAGAAGAAAACATATGAGATATAGATATTGTGACATATTGGAGATTTAATCTGTAAATTTGACAATATATGCAAGGATTTAAATTCAAATATAGGCTTGTTATAAATCAAATCTGCAGGAAGTTGTACATGTGGGTGGAATTACATTTGCCAACTTTATAAAAATGTTTGATTTTATTTGGAAAAATAAACCACAC